TGTCGTCGAAGCTCTACAACGGGATTTACAATAGGATCTTTCAGGACCCACAATGATTATCTAGTCCAACTGCCTGACCGCTTCGGGGCTGACCAAAAGTTAACACATACTATTACAATGCTATGAGGAGAGGCTGAGAGAGTTGGGGCTGTTCAGCCTGGAGAAGAGAAGGCTCTGGGGAGACCTTCCAGCACCTGGAGGGGCTACAAGAAAGGTGGAGAGGGGGTTTGGACAAGGGTGTGTAGTGACAGGACACGTGGTGATGGCTTTAAACTGAAAGAGGGGAGATTTAGATGAGATCTAAGGGAGAAATTGTTCCCTCCGAGAGTGGTGAAGCACTGGCACAGGTTGCTCAGACAAGTTGTGGCTGCCTCATCCCTGGAAGTGTTCAAGGCCAGGTTGAATGAGGCTTTGGGCAACCTGGTGTAGTGGAGGGTGTCCCTGCCCATGGCAGGGGGGTTGGAACTAGATGATCTTTGAGGTCCCTTCCAACCCAAACCGTTCTATGATCTATGAATACTATTATTTAGCTTCCCTTTCCAGAGAAAGGCAAACACAATTCCCTTCAAATCCCATTTTCACAGCTTCCGTCTAATTTGTCTGGTTTCTGCAGCCAGCGTGCAACCGGGTAACTACAGCCATCACATCTCCTCCCATGAGGACAACAGCAGCAGAAGGTTTTGTAATAAAGTCACTGACATGTAGAAAGGACCCTATATTCTTGCTTTTTCACCCAGAAGAGTGGGCTCGGAGAATCACGGCGCGACAACAGAGAAGAGTTCAACCGAAGGGGCTGGATGCCATGTTTTGCTGTAGTGATGCAGGCAGCAAGTTCTGCCACCCTTCGGAACGCTCCCGCACCCACCCGTGCCTCGCTCGGAGCCGGCCCGCCCGCCGCGGCCAGCCTCTGGCCATTTTTGCCAGCTAGCACTGATTAAACACACCACATCTCACCCCAGAGCTTCACGAGTTACTGACTGAGGCAGGTAAGGAGGACGTTTCCCGAGGCTGGAGGATGATGGGCCACCGCAGCCGTTAAGGGTTGTGTTCCCTCCCTCGCACGGGCCGAACGAGTCGGACTTTCTAATCCCTGCTTGACAGATAAAGCAGCAGAATTATTTTACGCTTCTTAAATTGTTTCCTTTAATAGGAAGTGCTGCTTTACTCTACCTTGTGCTTCTGAAACATTTGTGTTCCAAAAATATACAGTGTACACTTACTCTGTAGCTATAGATACAAACATTTACAAAGAAACGAGCAGGCTGGAGTGGACTACCTTGAAAAACCTGGCATCTTTGCTGCTGGCCCTCCTAGAGCAAGGCTAGCTGGGCTCCCGGCGCCGTGACCAGACCAGGGCTACCGAAAAACGCATGACTGAGAAATACCATGCCCTTGGTGATCATAGGAAACAATGTGGGTCAAAAAATTTTCCATACGCTGCAGAGGTTTGGAGTTTCTGTTGCCTTCTTCCACCTCCCCCCTCTTTTTGTCCCTACAATCTGCCTTAGTGTCTGCCTCCCGCATCCAAATCGACTGCAGCCTACCTGTCTGTGTCTTCTCTACTGCTGAAGGGCTGATCCCTCAGCTGGGCATCGCTCAGCTTTACACCAAAGAGGAAAATGTGGTTCCCGAGACATTTGGTTTCATCTGCAAGGCTTCCTCAAACTAAGGGAAACTGGGTACACTCTACAGTCCTAGCATTTTAGCGAATAGGTCGGTATGGGAATGTCATTCCTGGTATAAATGTTTGTACGGGGTGAGCTGGGAGCGCCGGGTGAGCCGGAAGCGCCGGGTGAGCCGGGTGAGCAGGGTAGCCCAGAGGAGGAGTATGGATATGAGGATAAAATCCTGGTGGCAGAGCGCCGTGGGTTGGTTGCTGTACTGGACCCGAAATCACCAGCTGGAGCAGGCTGTGGAGAGAAATTGAGATAAGCGTGAGGGTTGTTCAGAGAAGGCTTTTGTCATGGCTCTCCCCAGCCCTCAAGGGCCTGGCTTTAAGGACAGTTCATATCCCACACACAGCACTGGTGACACGCACGTGATTCAATTATGCTCTTTACAGCTTCTAGAAGACTCTTTTTTTAACTCTTTCCTTTTTTTTTTTTTTTTAAACTTGATGCTCTTTGCAAAGAGGGAAGAAGCAAAGTGCAGTTCAGCTTAAGGTCAGGTAAAACAAGCAGAGATTTGGGGATGGGACAACTTTAGGGCAGGTTCCACAATGTAATTTCATATTCCTTCTGCCCATCTGGTCTAACACAGGCTGGGCAAGATGATCTATACGGTAGGAGTCACTGAAGTCTCCTTCAGTTGAGTCCAGCTTGCAAGGGAAGAAGCAGACACCACTTTCTATCACCTTTATCCTTGTGCTAAACTTCATGGGAATAAAGGCCAACTTTGGGAAAGTAAACACAAATTTTTAGAGGAGATTTTGCCTCAGTAGCCCTCAAGTGTGCATCCTGGAACATGCATCAAAACCAACACAGCTGCAGAAAGGTCACTTACTTGTTATGCGGTAGCCTGGAGCACACAGTTCTCAAGTCATCTGAAAGAGGGCAGAAGACACAACAATAAGGGTAAAGCAGAAATCGGAGCAATTTTCCTCTCCACTCCTCTCTCCACTTCCTTTCTAGGCAGATGAGATTACTGACAAAGCTCCAGTCACCAACAGATCCAGAATCTCACTCTCAGGCCAAAACTTCCACAGGAGAGAGAATGTGTCTGCCTCTCACCAGTCCTTACAGCATCTTTTTCCACCCGACACTTTACTGCACGTTTGAGAAATGGAAAATTTCTGCCATATGGGAAATGCAGCTTCACTTCAAGGCAGACCACGCCTTAGTACAGAGATTGTAACCTCAATTTACTATTGAGAAATAACTAAGGCATAGGAAATTCTGCTCACAGAATACGGCATTTATGATGAGAAAGGCATCAGGTCAAGGCAAGGCAAAGCTTACCCAATCCCTGTTTTGCATTGTTTTGGGTTTTTTTTAAACAGTGCTAGTGTAAAGAAAGGACTGAGTTTTGCTGGGGTCTATTAACTAAAAATTGCATCTTTTTTACCATCTTAATGTCTTTTCTAGAACAGTTCTTGGTAATATCTGTATGCCTCACTCTGTGAGCTGCTCCCATCCCTCCCCTGGTTCCATGCAAGGAGTACTTCTTTCACCCAATTTTCAGATACTGATGAACTGTTTGTACTTGCCTCTGCAAAGCAGAATAGCTAGAACCAAGGTATTTAACAACAAACCCTGTTGCTACAGTGCTTTCAGGAACAGCTTGAGAACAAACTCCTGCCTCTGTAGATAAACACACCTCCAAAACACTGAAATAACTGGTATTTCAGCAGCTACTTATACTGAATTACTTTCCACTTCTACAGTAAAATCAAGCACTCAGAATGTACCAGGTGAATCATTAGGAAAAAACACAGCCAAAATAAGCCATCTGCTCAAAAAACTCCACTTCTCTCTCTGTTTTTACTACAGCCAGAGCTTCTTTATGGAAGATTAGAAAGAATAACATTGACATTTGACCAGAAGCACTGGCTCAGCCAGGACAAAAGCCTCTGGCACCTCCTTAGGCAGAGGCCACTTCCCAGCTGAGGTGTGCACTAACTGCCCGGCCTTTAGGGAGCTTTGAGCCTTCTGGTTGCACCAAGAATTGGCCTGTTCAGGAGAATCTATAAGCAAAACAGTACACCTGGTTGATGCTGGGCTGTGTTAAGGCACTTCCCTTTTTTGTCTCTGCAAGCCTTTCGGAAAGAACTGGTTTTGGCAACAAGAAAGACAGACGAAAGCCACGTTAGCAGGCTTTTTTTACGAAGTGTAACTGAAATGGTACACACTGTAATGGGGTCTCATTACAGCAGAGCTGAAGGCCCAGAAGTTCCAGATGAACAGTTTTTGTTTGCTTTTCAAGATCGTTGCAGGTACACTCAGAGTGTCGAACTGAAACACAATTAAACAGTGCTTTTTAAATAGCTGCAAGCAATTCTCCAGGGGTCAAATTTGTCCCCGTGCCGGACACCCAAATATAACTCCCTATGCACACTGCAAGGTAGAAGATCAATTCTTCAGCTCTGCAAAGCAACACACCAGTCACCTACACCAATGATCTCTCCTTTCTTACTCCCCATCCAGTTATTTTTCTGGAGTATTTCCTGCACTATCACTTCCCAAGGGCATCAAACTGCTACTTCTACTGCAAACAAGTTGATCTTACTCTCCCCATCCCAAAACTCCCTCTTACAACATCCACACACTGGAAGAAAAGAATCCCGTGCCAGGGACTCTGCCAGCCCCACTGACGACTTACCTCTAGTGCACAGGAGCGCTCCCGATGCCATGGCCACTTGCAAAGCCTGAGCGAGTCTGTCTAGAGCCAGTTCAATCTCTTTGGATGCATTGAGAGGATTGAGTTCATCAGACAGTCTGTTAATTTCCTCGACAAGCGGAACCACGTGGTCAAAGGGTACCAGCCCCAGGCGCCCATAAAGGTTCTTCTCTGTTAAATGCCCCTGAAGCATCATAAGAACCTGCAGGACACTTAGATGCAGTTTTGAATACAGCTGATGGCAATCTCTGTCTTCTCCTGAAGTCGAGTCCTTGGCAATTTTGCTGGGAGGATGTCCATTTGACAGAGAGGCTTTCTTCTTCCTTTTATAAGCCAAGGGGGCCTTCACGCACCAACGGATCAGTCCAGTCAGAGGGGTGAGCTCCAAAAACCCTATTGGCAGGTTGGCTGCAATGGGAGTGTTTAGAAAGGTGATGAGGATCAAACGGGGGTCTTCAAAGATCCAGGAAACAATCAACTCGAGCAGATCTGTGGGAGGGATGAGGTCATCTGAAGACAAGAAAGAAGTTATTGAGTAAGCTGAGCCTTACAGTGGAGCACAGGACCACAGTCTTTAATTAACCTCTCACACACACCCTTCCTGCACTGTCATAATTACAATTTCAAAACCTCCCCAACTCTGCTGTTTTTTTCAAGACATCAAAGGTAGGTGCTCGTTTGCCTCAGCGAAGACACAACCATGTTCCTGTCTACTCCACCTCCTCCACCACCAAATGCCAACGTTTATCCCCTTTCCCAGCAGCACTTTTGTCATTTTCTTCTCTCCCACCCAACACCTGCTCATTTTTTCTCTAAACTCAGTCCCCATTTATCCCTTGCCAAAGGAAGTACAATGTGCAAGGGAATAGCAAAGACTTGTCTGCACTTCTTTCTCCTCACCCCAATCATTCAACTGGTTTCATTTAAGACTTACCTAAACAAGTATGTCTTTGTGGAAGAATTTAACACCACAATCACAGTACAGATAAAGGATTACGAAATTATGTACAGCTTCAAGTAAGAAGTGAAACGTGGTCACGAACTGAAGCTTGACTACAGACACAAGAAACATTGACTGTGCAGTAACTGTGCACCATCCCGTCGCAGGGGCAGGCTACTGGGTTCAGCGACGTACTTTCATTGCGAGTTGTGTTCCGTGTCAACAAAGGGCTCAGCACAGAACTATCTAGTCAGGTCTTGTGTACCTGAAATGACGTCTGGGACAAATCAGCCAGACTCTAGGATTACTAACATGCACAGGATACAGAATCGGTATTTTCCAGTTTTCAGTTTTTCTGAGACTTTCGAGTATCACAGATGCTGCTGTTCATGTGATTGATTCCTGTCCTCAGGACGTGGTGGAGACCACCCAGTTACAGACTGCTCTTTGAAGAGCAAGCTTCCTGTTCTTGTGTCACCAATAACATCTCAAATAAACTAAGGGATTAAAAAAAATTACTTCCTATAACTCATGTTATTTTCTTCATGTTATTTAGATATAAGGAAGAAATTCTTCCCTCTGAGGGTGGTGAGGCACTGGAACAGGTTACCCAGAGAAGTTGTGGTTGCCCCATCCCTGGAAGTCTTCAAAGCCAGGCTGGATGAGGCTTTGGGCAACCTGGTATAGTGGAGGGTGTCCCTGCCCATGGCAGAGGGGTTAGAATGAGATGATCTTTGAGGTCCCTTCCAGCCAAACCGTACTGTGATTCTATGATTCTTTCTGTCATGTCATTTAATTACCTGGATGAACTTTCAAGTGGTTGCACAAAACAGATATAAAGTACTAAGGAAGAACATGCTACGAGCTCTACCAAATACTTTTTTAAAAAAAGAAGTCTAAGCCTGCATATCTCTCTCACTGATGCCAAGCTGTTTACCTGGAGAAGACTGTGCAGACTATTTCCTTTATCAAAAACAAACAGCATTTGCTTTTTCGGATGATATGTGATGCTGGTATTTAGTTGATGGTTGTTCCCTAGTCTACCATGAGCTCTCTGGCTCTCTGCTGAGTGAAGGTAAATCACTTTTATTTTAGACACCTACACATTTCTAGTGTCTGAGCAACAGCCACCCAAGACAGGTCGTATCACTCGCTGGTCACACATGCAGTTTAAGAGCACACCGGAGGAACACTGTTGGTCGTGTTTTTCGTCACTGCCCAACAGAAATCCTGCTCCAGCTTACAAACACTCAGAATTTGTGTTTCAAGAAAAAGTAATCAGACTGACAGACAGCCCTGAGTCTATTTGCTGGGTAGGCTACACAATAGGGAGGCCAAACTGCTCAGCCCAGGCAGATCAGCTTTCACTCCGAGAGCTGCTCAATCAATAAGGTCCCCGTGTCCTTTGCCCTCTGTGGACAACATCGCCCTTTGTGTCAGGCATTATCCAGCTGCTTCTCCAGCAAAGACTCTCCCTTCAGCCACTAAGTGGTTATTTTTATTCTCACCCCAGTGACAGATGATGCAACAGCCACACCTGAGCTGCTCCTGGCAATAATTAGACGGCAACAAGCACCTTTAGAATTTCAGCAGTTAATTCACTTGCAACAGTTAATTTGAGTTGTATTATTCTGCATCTCTCCCTTTGAAAGGCACAGCTTGGAAACACTTACCTGAGGAGAGGTCGTAGAGAGCTGTGACGGACGTAATGAACTGGCAGCAGAAGCGAGGGCTGGCACTGAATATCTGCTTCAGCGTCTGGATGGACCCTGGCACCAAGTTGCAGTAGTCATCGACCAGGGCCCGGGCCAGCCTCACGCAGTACACAGCAGGGGTCCGCTGCAGGGGGGGAGAGACAGCACACCAGGAAAAGCACATCAAAACCAGCTGCAGAAGGTTCTACAGAGCTGACCTCAAAGTTCACATTGCCCAAACGCTCCTGCCTACCTCACCCAGCCGCTTCGCCGTTCCAACATTGGCTCCCGCTTTTCCAAAATTACAGTGCACTTTCTCTCACTCACTCTCTGCACATCAAAGATCCACTCTGTAGTTCAGTAACCTGTCAGTTGGGCTTGACATTTTTAAGGTGGAACAAATTGTGTGCAAACCTTGTGTCACTCAAGAGCTGCCACCTGCCAAAAAATTGCACCTTCTTCAGCTAACCAGGCTGCAGCCCCTCCCAAGGCACACCAGACAGGAAAAGAGGGACCCACAGAAATTGCACTGGTCTGCCTCCTACCCCTCTTCCCTCCCAGCACAGCCCTTCTGTTCTCCCCCTTTTGTAAGGCAGGTGACTTCTGCACACCCCACAAAGGCAGCAGGAAAACAGATGCGCTTCCCAAGGTCTACAGTGGGGAATCTCAATGGGAAAGGAGGAGATACAGAAGAATCCTGACATACTGCATTCACGGATATGAATAACAGACACAGATATTTTGTGTCCGAATCTCAAGAGAGAGGTTTGCCTCTTCTGCCATGCCCAACCTTGCACATTTCCCAAACTCCAGAGTCAGCTTCTTTGGGCAGTGTGACCACAGACTTGTTTTGTGTCACTGGTGTGACTAGTTTTGTTCCCTGTGTCGGTCAAGCCCTCCACCGATCCCTTTCGACATGCTGGGGTTGGGTGGAAAAAATAAATAAACAAAATCAGTAACATTTTCACCCACAGTGAAAAAAAACCGAAACACATTTTCTTCTGCCAGTACAGCACACAAATGGATTGGCAAGAGCTCCACCTTTATGGCAGAGTAAAGGACTGGACATGAGCACAGATGTGGTGTGAGTGCAGCTGCAGCAATCAGCTGTCGCAGCATCTTAAACTGCCACGGAGGAGCAACTGACTGCAACTGGCTGTCACTGACCGTGAGGTGACACTGTCTCAGCTCACCCATACCCATCACGGCACACTCTCTCGCTCATTTTCCGAAACTGCCGTGCCTGCACAGAAGCTGTACCTGCAGCCAGAAGGCAGCACACTCCAAAACAGGAACCCTGCACACAGCCACTGCCATGGAAACCAGCTTTCCTAGTAAAGCCATCCTGCTGTCATCTGCTTTGTTTCCTTGAGGGCTGAAGAGAGATGAGAAAATGATCTGCCGGACTGAGTCCTTGGTTTGCTCTTGGAAATAGTTGCACATGATATCAAGGAGCTGAAGTTCCTGAAGTGAACTCAATCTCTGAAAGAAAACAAAAGCAAAGCAGGTGTTATAAACTCAGTCTTTATGTACAGCACCCACACTCAAGCTTCCTGAACCACCAATGCATTTACCTACTTACACAGAAAAGCTCTAGGTTGTATTTGAATACCTGGATATCCAAGGCCAGTGCTTGCTGTACCAGCAAGTGCTGCCCACAAACGGAGAGATAAGACCTGCAGCAATACTGAGGTGAAAAATATTTCCTCCCTCTCCAAATAACAGCACGAAGGGCACCAGCAGGCAGCCAGGGGTGGAAGGAGGTGTCACAGCTGGGCCCAGCGGCCCACCAGGCCCCAGGGCCATGCACACTGACATTCACCAGCAGCTGCGGTTTCTGGCTGATGCTCTCTGGGAGGTCCCCATCTCAGCTCCAGCCCATGCCCAGCCATTTAAAAACCCTGGTACAGCTCAGCTGCAGCACTGTGAGGCTCCAGGCAGTCCCCAGGGGCCTCAGGCCCCACCACACCACATCTCTTGCTGGGAGACCAGAGTCCTGTCCAGTCCATTGGGGCCTTGCCAGCCAGCCTCCTCCCTGCCAAAAGAACCCTCAGCCACCAGCCCTGCAGCAACCCTGTCATACAATCATAGCGTAATTTAGGTTGGAAGAGACCTTTAAGGTCATCAAGTCCAACCGTTAACCTAACACTGCCAAGTCCACCAGTGAACCATGTCCCTAAGTGCCACATCTACATGGCTTTTAGATACCTCCAGGGATGGTGACTCAACCGCTCCCCTGGGCAGCCTGCTCTAATGCTTGACAACCCTTTTGGGGAAGAAGTTTCTCCTCATATCCAATCAAATACCTCCCCTGGTGCAACTTGAGGCCATTTCCTCTTGTCCTTTCGCTTGTTACTTGGGAGAAGGGACCAACACTCACCTCGCTACACCCTCCTGTCAGTGAGGTGTAGAGAACAATGAGGTCTCCCCTCAGCCTCCTTCTCTCCAGGCTGAACAACCCCAGTTCTCTCAGCTGCTCCCCACAAGACTTGCGCTCCAGACCCTTCACCAGCTCCGTTGCCCCTCTCTGTACACGCTTCAGCACCTCAATAACCTTCCTGTGGCGAAGGGCCCAAGACCGGACACGGTATGCGAGGTGCGGCCTCACCACTGCCCCTTCCTCCTGGGCACTCGGCCTCCCGCAGCTGCCCAGGGACCCCGTCCAGAGCTCTTGGG